TCTTAAACATAATAACATTTAGCACATTTATTTTCACCTCAGATCTCTTTGTTTCCTTTTTTAAAATTTTTTTCCTCTCCCCTGGATCGCATTTCAAATTTTTCCCATCTTTAAAGTCTCATTTCAAGTTTTATCTCTTCAAATGACATTTTTTTCAGAACATTTATAATCTGAATTTAATTAGCAGAATGTGTGCATATGTGTTTTTGCATAATTCTGTAGGTACTTACATCTCTATATATCCCCTAATCGACCTAAAATATGTTTTTCCTAAAATAAGTATGTGGTTTGCTGCAGAGGAACAGAAACATTTACAGTTTTACTCATCATTGTATTACTGTTACCCAGAAGAGTGCCTAAGTGGCACATAGAAAATGTTTAATAAACATTTATTGACTAAATTAATGTACCCAACAGATGCCTCTCAAAGTGTTGTGGCACCACAATGTTATTTGAACATCACTCCAATGCTGTGTAGTCATTTGAGCAGGTATTATTTATTCATTCAAAATGTAAGAATAGAGACTCAGAGAGATTAAAGGCTTGTATCTAAAATCACGCAGTTTGTTCTCTAGAAAATCAGAGCTTTAAATCTGAGTATTTAGATGCTTAATCTATTGTATGCTTACTACTTATTTGACTACTCTGATTTTCTCATTGGTTACTTGAGTACTAATCTCATCTTTTGAATTACCGCTTTAAAACATATGTTATTTCAAATCTTATCAGCAAGATACCAACATTGTGGAAAATTCTCTAGAAAACAGGATTAACTGTTGTCTGGGAGTTAGGAATTGTAGTATAGCTTGTATATATGTTTATACATATACAGTTTGTATATTTGTGAGGGTGTGGTTTGAGAAAAATCATTAAGTTTATATTTGAATAAAAAGTGGATGTGTTAAACCATTCTTGAATTAAGCAGAGAAATAACTGAGACTGGGGTAATTTATAAAGAAAACAAGCTTTATTGGCTCACTATTCTGCAGGCTATACAAGCATGACACTGGCATCTGCTTGGCTTTTGATGAGGGCCTCAGGAAGTTCCAATCATGGCAGAAGGTGAAAGGGGAGCAACATCACGCGGCAAAAGCAGAAGTGAGAGAGAGAGAGAGAGAGAGGAGAGGGAGAGGGAAAGGGGCGGGGGGAGAGACAGAGAGAGAGAGAGAGAGAGAGAGAGACTTTAAATGACTGAGATCTCATGTGAACTCAGTATAGAGAGCTCACTTATCACCAAGGAGATGGCCTGCTTGGTCTATGGGGATCCATCCCCAAAATCCAAACACCTCCCACCAGGCCCCAGCTCCAAAATTGTGATTATGTCAGCATGAGATGTGAGCAGGACAAATATCCAAACCAAAGTCAGTGGACTTATGTGGATGTGGCATTCCAGGAATTTTATTTGTTTTCTACATCTTTCTGAGTTTTTTAAACTTATATTTTGAAGTTATTTTTTTTTTAACAACACAAAGTATTATATTGTTATATATGCCTCAAGCTTTTGAAATATCTTAGAGTAGCAGTGACAAATAATTTGGGGAAACATGGGTAAACAAGATTGACTGGTCATTTAAGACATGATTCCTCAGAGACATTAGGATGTTAATGTTTGCAACAGTGTTAATTAGCAGAGTTTTCCAGCCACAGAAGCTTCCCCCACTGCCCCCTGTCCCCACTGGACACTTGCTAAGAGCTGATGACAAATCAAATGAAAGAGAACTTCTTGGGTATGTGGCAAAAGGAGATATACTAGAGAGAAACATAGGAGGAGTGGTTGCTCCCCTTTTAAAATTATTCTAATCCCCCAAGTTCCAGATAATATGCAGAATACAGTACTCGCTGCTTCTTCCTCTTCTTATGCCTTCACTCCTCCTTCCATTTAGCAGTTGGTCACTGCAATCTCCCAGAGGCATCTTTCAGTTTTGAGACTAAGAAACCTGTAACCCAAAGCCTAGGATTGAGAGAGTATGGTTGGAGAAAAATAATAATTAGAGAGTAAGAAATCAGAACTCTTAAGGATACATGCATGTATTAGAGTTCATGGTGAGAAGGCCAAGAGACGATGTGGGGACTCCCAGTCAGGAACTTGTTTTGTACTATTGAATGGTGGGGCATTGGGAAATCTCAGAGCCAAGTGTCTAGCAGAAAACAAGATAAAGTACCTGAAGATGATGAACTGGTATGGTAAATAAGTTTAGGAGAAAGGCTAAACAAAATATTAAAGAAACAGACTCTCAAAATGTGGTTATAATCATGTATGTGAATTTATTTCTATTTTTGCCATATTTTAAATGGCATAGTAATTGAGGCATGGCAACATGGATGTAAACTTAACTATATTTTGTGCTGTATTTTATTGGTATAATAATCTTTATAAACATGCTTTTGAGCCTTAACTAGTTTACTTCAGTATGGTTACTCACTAACAATCTTAAAATAACAGAGAGAGATGGCCTGTTACATTTGCTAAGTGGTCACCTTACCCCTTATACTTTTATCACACAATGAATGCAGATTGGCGGCTCCTAGGCTCCTAACACCTTTGGTAAGTCAATTTTGTAAAGTTAGGACTTCGTGGAATTACCTTAAAGTGTAGAAATTACGCTCCTCCCACACTCAAGAATTACATAATAGTGATAAAGGACTCCAGGAGAGCTGGACTTTGGGTTACAGAGTACAAAAAAAGTGTGCAGACCAGGATTGGCAGGTATTCCCTAAATGAACATGCATCTCAAAAATAAAAATAATTAAAACATTTTTGACTCTATATATGTTACTAAGTTTCATAACATGCATGGTAGATCTTACACTTTGTTTTATGAAGAGAACCAAAGTTGAACCTTGGAAACAAAGAGAAGATCATAAATCAGGACAAAAAAATATGTAATAGGAATATCTGACCATACCAAGATTTATGTAAAAAGATAATTTAGATTTTAAATTCTCCTTGGTCACCCAGTCTGAACACCTAATTGCAAGAAGTTTATCATAAAAATAAGAAATAAAATTACTTAAATAAGGTGCATAAAGAATCTAGGGTGAAAATATGACTGAGGGTCTGTCATCTTTCTTTTTGTACTTTCTTTTGATAATAAAGGTATATTTTATTATATCACAGAAAATCCAACTGATGGTGCGTTTATTTGATCCAGAAAGGAAAATATTGGAAAAAAGCAGAGAAAAGAGTGAGCTCATTACGTGATAAATACAAGCTTTTGTGAACAGATAGCATAGATTTGTTTGACACATTTTCATTGAAGAACAGTCCTGACTTCTAATACAGTACAAGCTCTTGATGAAGTCTTAAGAAATAACAGATGTTTTAACTAAGAAAAAGAAATAATCTAGTAAAAAGTATATGTAAAGAATGTGTAATAGAGAGAACATATAGTGGAAAAATGATGCTAGAACGAATGAGAATGAGGACACTGTAGTTAAAGTGGTTAAGGCAGCAGAAACAGTAGCGATTAACTGTGCATCTCACACTACCCAAAGTTGATGCAGCTGCAGTTAGCTACGGTTGGAAGAGAGTTCTAAAACCACTACTCTTTATTTTCATTGTCATGTTTTGGTGTTCTCATTTTGAACTTTTAAAAGGGAAATTGCAGATAATTCCCACTCATGATATCTATTTATGTGTTTAAAGTCAATTAATTTTTTTGTGCAAAAAATATTGTATTGGTTATTGAAGGGAACATCTCTGATTCAAAAATTCTTTTTAGCTGACTTACACATTATGTGTAGTGTATAATATGATCTTCTTGGGATAAATTTATACTGACAGTCTTAATCACACAAGTAAAATTGCTAAGGGAAAAGCCAGCTCTTGATTTCTAGTTAAATCACCATTTTATAAATTCAAATGAACTTATAAAAAGGTGAATCACCTTTTTATGTTACATGACAGAGATACAAATACCTGCATGTAACATTTGTACATGGCTAGAAAGATCCGCCAGGTGTTTGTGCTACTTTTGGAAAATATATAGTGTACTTTTAGCAAGCCTTATTAACTCTTCACACCAAGAGTATGTTTTATAAGTGTTTGCTTCACTAAATCATAACTGAGTTATCCAAGTTATTCCCTGGGAAAAATATAAATTAAAAATAATTTTAAAAGTAAATAAAATAAAATAAAAATAAATTTAAAAATAAAAATAAATGAACTGTTAAAGATATTTGACTGCATTTTGCAGAGCTAAAGATGAAAATTATAAAGTCATATTTTTCGTTTTCACCCCTCAACAAATTGTTTCTTTTCTGAAAGCATTGTTTCTCTATTTCTTGGAGAATGGCAGTATTTCTCTGGAAATATCTGTGTTGAGTTGTCATAGTACTAGAGTTAATATGCTTTATTGGTTAATATATGTGCCATCAGAGGACAATATAATAAAACCACATGGAATGTGAAACACAATATATTATGAACTTTTCTGTGCCATAATATGTTCTTCTCATCCTGAAAATTGAAGAGACTTACACAGTATGTCATATTTTCCCAAGAAAATATGATAACTCAGTTATGATTTAGTGCAAGAAAGCAAGCATTTATATAACACACTCTTGAGTCCTTAAAGAGTTAATAAGGCTTGCTAAAGTATACTATATTTCCCAAGAGTAGCCTAAATACCTGGAGGATCTGTCTAGCCATGTAAAAATACTTAAGCTTAAGCTATACCAATATGCTAATGTATTTTCATTATAATGTGAAGCAGTTTAGTATCATTTAGTCAAGTATGTCCACTCTTGAAGAATTCATTAGGCAGCAGCTGAGCTTTTCATAAAGTCTGCCTCCCAAAGTGGCATATTTAGGCTTCATTCTCCATAGAAAATATTAATCAGAAATTTTATGTGTAAGAAAATTATCAGCACTACACAGGACCAATTTTAGAAACAGCTAATCAAAGCCAATAAATTTCCTCTATTTGGGTGAGTATGTGGTGGTGATATCTAATAAGGACTGTTGATAGACACTACTCTCCAATTTCCTGCTTCACCAGAGCGTGCAATCAAGTGAAGACTGGATATCTTCGCCACCAGTTTTGGACCCGCTTTCAGACCATGAGATATGGTAAGTGGACGCTGGGGCCTTGCTTTGGAGAATTTTTTAAAATTTAATTTTTCAAATAAAATATAAACTAAGTTTTTAGGGACAAACTTGAAAAAGTTTCGCCAGACCTTTGTGTCTTTCTCTGTGTAATATGTAACATGTAATAAAATATTAATACAATAGAAAATACCCATTTGCTTCCCCAGATCAGACCTATTTCCATGATTTTCTGCACCACTGCAGTCATCTTTTAAAAAAAAATATCTAAAATGATTGCTGCCTTTGGTTAACACTCCTGCAAGCCATGCAGTATGAGTGTTACGTTTCATTTTACTAGTAGGCCATGTTGATTCAAGGATGCTGTTTTCAGGTAACCAGAACTGCTAGAATGGGTCAACATTATGATTTCTAAATTATTTTTGGCTACTAAAACTAAAAGGAAACCAGTGTAAAAGTTGACCAGAATTAGACAAAAATATTTAAAACACACCACTAGGAAACATTCTGCTTCACTGCAAAAAGCATTCATAAATTAGTGTCCAGAGGGAAATATAATGAATCTATACTTGCTCTTTTTTCCAGCACAAAAGAAATTAAACATGAATTTCTTCTGTCTGATGGGAGTTATGCAGAGCTGTACAGAAATTGTATAATATTACTGTTTAATAACAGCCAAAGTTCTATATAAGCAAAACATCATAAAGTGGTCATGGAGACATACCATTATGAATATTTCCAAGATATATTAAGTGAATACTAGTTTTTAAATGCCTCATGTTAGCACCAGTTTACTGAAAAAGTATTTTGATTTCAACATAGCTCACAGTGGGTCAGAATAAAACTTACAGAAAATATGAATGGCAGAGTAAAAACCCTCACAAGTTCTGAGGTAAACAAACAAACAAACAAACAAGAACTATATTTAATCTGGTGTTTTTGCAATTGTATTTACCCAAGGCCTGTTTTGTCATTTGACCCCTGTTTATGTTCTGTAGAACTAATATTCTGTGAAGTGAACTTTGGGAAATTCTGGCCCAGAGGATAATTAGATATTTTAGATTTAAGACAAGCTTTGAAATACAACTGAAAGAAAACAGGTGGTGTATATAAGCAGCAACAGAGTGGTAACTAAGAATGGAAATATTTGAACCAGATTGCCTGAGTTTATGATGCCAGCTACTTCACACAGAAGGGTATATCCTTAGGGAAATTACTTAATGTCTCTCTGGATCAGTTTCTTCATGTATAAGGTGAGATTAATAACACCACTTAATAAATTAGCCATTACTAATATGCAAGAAATATAATATGAAAGTCAATCATACTTGTGAATTTATGCATCTTACAATTCATTTGGAATTATGATCAGTCTGTAGACCACTTTATTGAAATAACCTGTGATACAATGTATTTTACTAAATTGACAACTTTCTGAAGACCCATTGTATTTCTCTCATGTTGCAACTCAGTCTTCCCACACTATTCTCTCATGGTACTTTTATGATTAAAAATATTTGTTAGGTACCAGTCGTGTTTAAGGTCAAATACAAACTGTTCTGCCTGTATTCCATAGAATCCATAAATGATTTGCCACTTTCGGTCACTTGTTCCCAATATTAACTATTTGTTTTAGTCCTGCTTTCTGCTAGGCAGTATAGTGTCGGCGCTGGCAGGGCTGGCTCTGGGACCTGCTTATTGAACGCTAAATCCACCATCAGCAGCAGCATGACACTGAACAAATTGCTTGCTTCTCTAAGGCTCAAAGTCTTTCAAATGTGTATATTATTATAGTTGTCCATTCCTGCAACATTTTTATAAGTTTTAAAATGAAATGTGCAAATAAAGTGTCTACAATGAAATACAAGAATCAGAGCTATTATATTATTTTACCTCTTGAGCTCTTATCGTGCCATGCAGAACTCATGGAAATTTCTTCTTTCTCTCTACCCATCTAAATCCTATACTTCCACTCCAAATCAAGACCCAAATACTTGATGAATCACTTAGCTAGTCCAATAACAAATTGACTTTCCATTTTTGTATTCAATTCTATATGAATTGACTATAAAATACCTTTTTAGCTGCCACATGTATAACACTACTTTGTAAACTTATTTCTCATATTTATAAATAAATATCTTATTTTCTTAAATTGTTGCCGAGAATGTAAATATATGAGCCACATCTTTCACAGTATTAGTTCATTGTTATTTTAAAGTAAATGTTAAAATTACTATTTTTTTGTGATAGGTTTAGAAGCCTATACATTGAAAAAATTGAGGTCTTGTGGTACTCTAATAAATTATGCACCTGCTTCTCTGAGTCTCTGAAAATAGAGAGATATAAGACACTAGAGTAGGAGGCATAGGGAATGAAAATATCATATATATATATTACTAATAATGATGGTATTACATAATGACATATCTGTAGACGTTGGTTTGCCGAGAGTAGGCACCAGAATCAACCAGATTAACTCCACCCAGTCAAGGCAGTGTTGAATTTCTTTGCTGGGGTGTGGATTATACATGCAAACTTCCAGCACGGGACAGCACAGCAGAATTTTTCACTCTTATAGGCAGCCAGTAGCCAAATGGAAAAGACAAGAGAAAAGGACTGAAATGGATAAAATTGATGTATTTTTCCAAATTAACCTATCAGATTAAATTCTCTTTCTTTCCTCTTCAGTGGAAGAGTGTGAGGGAATTGGGAGCATGCAGAAGTTCTTTTTTTCATTGATGAAACATCAGAGGGCATGAACATTCAAAACATCATGCACTGATGGCAATCCTCTAATTTACTACTTATAATCATAAATTTTGCTTAATGGCCATTCTATCTCAGTCTCTGGCACCTGGCATGGTGTGTCACAGAGTCAATGTCCAGTAGGAGTTGTTATAGGACAATGCCCAAATGAAGCCACAGGCGATCAAAAGCTTTTTTCTTTTTCTGCATAGGGTATGCCTTGAGTTATTGCTTCAGATTAATTGTGATTTAATAAACCAGTGCTGCAGTTTTTGAATCTTAGAATAGGCTTTTTGATACACCTTCAAACTTGTGATTATAATCTACATTTTATATATCACATTTGGTCAAATGTCAGATAGGAATAAGGAACAGAGTGTCCAACCAACAATATTCCCTATTGGGTTCTTAAACTTCTCTGAACAAGACAGTGTTTTAATTTGCTCTGTTAAAATCAAATTAGCCATGGTCTGCTACTGGTTTGCTAGTAGCTGGTAGAAATTGTACCTGACCACCTTGCTTTAGAAGATTAATCATTTAAATTATATTATGGGAGAATTGTGTGCAAGAAGCAGCAGCATGTTTAAAGAAATCAAAAATCAGAAGGCAGAAAGACAAAGCTGTTTTTCAAAATGGGAAAAGTTTTATAGTTTTTAAAGTGAGTACTAATAAATTAATCTATATTAATAACATAGCAAGATTTAATGCTATTGAATGCTTACAATACATTAGGCACCATACAATGCTTTCTAGATAATCTTTCATCTAACTCATCAAACCTTTTAGCTGGGTGGATATTCTATCTACATTTCCCAGAGAAGGAAAGTGACCTGCCAGCTGCTAAGTGTAGCAACTTGAACCCAGGCTATTTAGCCCAGAGACCTATAGCTCCCAAGGCATCTGACTTCATCTAAATAGAAACAAAATTAGGACAACTCTCTAACTTTATTTTAAAAACCATTAATTGGCAATCAAACAGAACATTCCCAGGGCACTAGGTTCTGACAGAAATATCGAGGCAGTACAATCATAGAGCCTTGTTTTCCATAGTGCTTAAAACGTGATGTTTGTAAAAAGTACACACAGATGGTAATAAATGGCACAGGCAGGAACACTTCAATACAATATTTATTTAGGGACATAGCGATGTTTTGTCCCTGACTAGACTAAGACTCACATTCTCCAGGGACCTACTCTATTGAACAGAGCAACTCAGACTCTTCACTTGAGTGGTACGGACTAGAGCCTGGAAACTTGCCAAATTATTTAAGAGAGCTTCCTTTGTCCAGCCTCTTCCAGCACGGAGTCCCCTCTTTTGCATTTTGTTTTTACTTAACTTAAGCTGACCACCTCTCTTACTTTCCTTAGATTTCCTTCCCTACAATCCTTCTAAAGAAATAGCACATTTTCATGACCAGCTACATACAAACCTAATATAAATTTGTGTTGATAAAATAATAAAATAGAGACAGATAATAATTAACTTTTACTAAGAGCTTCCTGTATGTTCTAGGCACTGTTAAAAGATGTTCTCAAGGCATCAACTCACTTCTCACAACCGCAGAGTGAATTATCCCACTTTTATAGATTAAGAAACTGGGGCCTCTACGTAGAGTAAAATAATTACCTATGGCCACCTTAGTGGTAGGTTCAGAACTCACATCCATAGTCATTATGCTATAGTTCTGCTGCTCTCCTCCCTGTTTTTCCCAACTTCCTTAAGAAGGGGGCTTGGCCAGGTGCAGCGACTCATGCCTATAATCCCAGGTCTTTGGGAGGCTGAGGCGGGAGATCACCTGAGGTCAGGAGTTCAAGATCAGCCTCCTGACCAACACCGGGTGAAACCCCATTTCTACTAAAAATACAAAATTAACTGGTCCTGGTGGCGCGTACTGTAAATCCCAGCTACTCTGGGAGGCTGAGGCAGGGGAGAATAGCTTGAAGTCAGGAGGTGGATGGTATGAGCTATGATCACATCACTGCAGTCCAGCCTGGGCAACAAAGAGTGAAGCTCCTTGGGGGAGAGAGAGAGAGAGAGAGAGAGAGAGAGAGAGAGAGAGAGAGAGAGAAGAAGAAGAAGAAGAAGAAGAAGAAGAAGAAGAAGAAGAAGAAGAAGAAGAAGAATATATGGAAGGAAGGAAGGAAGGAAGGAAGGAAGGAAGGAAGGAAGGAAGGAAGGGAGGGAGGGAGGGAGGGAGGGAGGGAGGGTGGGAGTGGGGAGGGAAGGAAGGAGGAAGGAGGAAAGGAAGGGAGGAAGGAAGGGAGGAAGGAAGGGGAAGGAAGGAAGAAAGGAAGGAAGGAAGGGAGGAAGGAGGAAAAGAAAGGAGGAAGGAAGGAAGGAAGGGAGGAAGGAAGTGGGAAGGGAGGAAGGAAGGAAGGAAGGAAGGAAGGAAGGAAGGAGGAAGAAGGAAGGAAGGAAGGAAGAAGGAAGGAAGGAAAGAAGGAAGGAAAGAAAGGAAGGAAAAAAAGAAAGAAAAGAAAAAAAGAAAAAAGGAAAGAGGGGGCTTTGGCTAATCTTCATCCAGATACTCCACTCTTATCTAATGAACCGTACCCCAGGGGGCAAGGTCATCTTATAGAGCTTTCAGTTTGGGAACTACCTGCTGCTACCACGACAATCACACAGGGAGAGTTCTCAGAAATGGAAGACCAAATATTTACACTCTTGGTTAGGCAGAAACAAATTTTCATCAACTGCTTTTATTTCACTTTGTATTTCAACCTCAACACTGCAGAAAATGGAAATGAAGATTACCCAGTGAGTGCTCGTGTGTGTGTGTGTGTGTGTGTGTGTGTGAATGGTACAGTATTAGAAGGAAGAATGTTCTAAACGAATTTGGGGATTCCATTGTCTGTCATTAGCACAGATAAATAAAGCTGGTGGTAAACATAATAAACATGAGAACATCAGGATTTTGGCAGATTTTGACATAATTTTTTGAAACTATTGCCTGTGGGATACATCTTGTCAAAGATTTGGTAGTACATCTAATTTTAGTTTATATTTAACATGTATTTTATTTTAAAATCTCTTTGGGCAAGCAATAAATGAACCAAAGCTTAGATTCATGGGAATGTGGTCACCTAGGCATCCTTAAACTTTGATTTGCAAGTGGCCATTCATTCTCTCTACTGTTCACCAATCTAAAGTCATTCAGTTGGATAGAAACTAGAGCTTATACTGCTAAGCCCTGAGTAACAGAACATTTCATCATATATTATATCCCCACCTCACAAGCTTCTCTGTCATCTGGAGAGGAAAAGCTTGCATACCCTGAGGTAGATTCATCCACCCAGTTTTCCTGACAGGCATTGGCACATTGTGTCACTTGCTGATATCATCCACAGCCCCTCCCGGCGGAAAATATCATTCATGCCTGTCGCACACCATCGTGAGTTTTTCTTACAGTGCCCAAGCCTAAACAGTCTCTCCTTTGTTGAATTTACCAGGTAAAGCAAAGAAATGTTTGTTGGTTAGTAAATTCCTTCACATGTATTTATCACAGTGCCTTCATCTGACACTTTCTGAACACAAAATCCTAACCAACAAACAAGGTAACGGTCTTGTTCTATAAAGAAAGTCTGGCACCATATTACACTTCCTTGTTTCTGTCTCAGGAAGCAATTAGTACTATATCTGGTGCTTTATAATACATTTAATAATAGTTGTTAATTACTTAGATCAGTAATAGACTCAGTAATGCCAAACAAGTGCCAGAGAACGCACCTTCATTCAACATTCACCCAGCATTGCTTAAGCCTTGGAAGGAGACATGTATTTAAGTTCATACACAAACCCCAAACACAAACATTGTTTTTTTGTAGGTCCTAATGACGATAATATGTATAAGATTTTAAAAAACAACTGCTTGGTGATGTAACAGGGCTAGAGGATTAGGAAAATGTAGCATGATGTTTTCAAGTTAGTTCACTTCTGGTTTGAGTATACTAAGATTAATGGAGAATGTAGCAATCTCTACTTCAAACCATTGAGCTCCAAATTTAGTGCCAGGTAAAGTACTGCAAGAAATGGCTATTACCTTTTCAATTTTAGGAGCTGGTAAGTCACATTGCCTGTTTTCAGATTAGCAGATAAGCTATCTCTGGGTATTGCCATAAGAAATGCTAAATATTCAAATTAATAGATTCCCTGGCTATGAATGATGATGAGCTTCAAACATTTTTCATGTGGCTTATACACATGTACAATCACAAACACACACTCACACTGACACTCTGCATTCTTATTTTTTGTTCTTTTCTTTTGAAAAGGATCCAAGCTACTAATAGAAGCAGTTTCTTTGTTTTCATAATCTTCTTTAATGTGTAGGATAATTGAAAGTCTATGTACATTATCTGTGAAAAAAAGTTTATTTAGCAAGAAAAAAAAGATGGGAATTTTTTACACCCGCATTGAACTTCACAGTTTACTTGGGTGTGGGCATGAGGTTTTCAGAGAAATGAGAGGGCCCCCAAAACACTAAGCTTTACCTTTATGGCTGGAATTGTCTAACTTAAACATTTTTTTCTATGCATAATACCCTCTAACATGAGTTTGTTTTTAAAATTGTGATATGTATTCTATTTCTTCTAGTGCTGCTGTGATAGGGAGGTGGGGTGTTACTTTCCTTTTAGCATATCTTGAGCCAATAATTGGAAAAATTTTTCTGACCAAAATATGTCAGGCATTTGATTTTTTTTTTTAAATCATTACACCAACCAGTGATTCTCTCTTTGACATCAATATGTACATGCTATCACATCGCTTACTTCTAAAAACATCACCTAGCTAACATTTTACTTCCAAAGTTGCAAAAATTATGCACTGTCTGTATGGATATTTGCATATTGCAAAATACAGTAATAAGAACTCTTCGTCATTTTCTCCAAAATTACTCAGGAATATACACAGATGGTATTTTTCCATTAAAGCTGTGAAGGATGAAAGGTTAAAATTTAAAGGGCCCATGACAGTCCTCCGGTTAAATAACCAATGTGCAAAAATCAATTGACACTTTTTTTTCACAATGGAAAAGAAGTCAGTGGCCCACAACATGACCATGCCTAACAAACTTCTGCGATCACAGAGGATGGCACCTTGCTGTACACCATGAGGTAAGGATGACTGCACTGTCATTCATGAATGTTTCTACTTCATTCCCTTTAATTTGTAAGCAACTGTCAGGCTGATTATCATGTGAATATTTTATGCCTCAGCCTAACAATGTTAAAAATCTCCAACCTGCTCTAATTCCCCACAGAGGATGAAGTATTATTTATGCAAATATTTATTTGCTTACATCTATTTTATTCTAAATAACTTTCTGTAACTAGGTGGTTCAGCCTAAGGAACTTCTCTCTATTATAAAAACTCCATATATTCCTGCATTCCAGGAAGATCTAGATTACATTTCTAGAAGCTGTCTAATGATTTACATCTGGAAAACATTCTACTAAAAATGAAGTAATAAAAAACAGAAAATATGGAAAGTTACAAAATTCATAAAACACAGATTCATGTAGATATAGGTATTTGAAGAAGTATTTGAATTCACAATGGCTTTGGATGTAGCTGGATGAGACCATAGATACTATTAATTTTGCTCAAACTAAAGACTACACATACATTTCTGTTTTATGAACATTTCCTCTTAAGATTGCTGTAAGTCTCAGCATCTATTATGTTCAATAGCTTATGATTGAATGAAGGAAACATGAACTGTAATAAAGTTTGAATATTATATAGAAAAAAAGAGATATTTAAAAGTGTTTCATTTATGAAAATTAAGAATTATCTGGAACTCATTCTTGAGAGCAGCAGTAATATTCCCAGATGACTTGTTAGATACGAGTTTTACATTTGGTCAACACTTAGTAATCGACTTTTCAATTATTTCTTTGGTACAAAAGATAATAAAGGCAAAATGCTAAATTTAGTGGGATTGCAGAGTACAGTAATATTTTATCTTTGGAGAAAGCTGCCAGAATGCCTAGCTTTTCAAACACAAACATCCAAAAGAAAAGAAAAGAAAAGAAAAGAAAAGAAACAATGCTTCAAGAGACACTTTAGATATTGAGCCAACGAATGGAAATCTAATAGGACTTAAAAAAAGTCTAAAAGATAGAAATAGAGACCAATGAGCACAATGTGTTGATAACTTTCTAGGATTATCTAAGCAGGACCTACTGGTATTTTGAAATTTGAAATATTCTCCTGATGAAACACCCTACACTTCTGGCTTGAGCCTAAATCCAGTATTCATTCTTCTTTTATGGCAATTTTCTGAGGAGAGACTTGCATATCCCAAGTAGTTTATTGATTAATGGTTTCTGATGTATGCAATGTTCTTCATCTGTATCTTTCATCACCTAAAATTTTCTCATAATGTGTATTTACTTTCTTTAATAATTTAAGAATGCACTCAATCATTAATTTAATTTAATCATTAATCATTAATTACACTTTGTATATTTGGCTATAAATCTATCTTATTACATTTCTTGAGCTACTTAATATAGGTAAATATACTTGCTAAAAATCATATGAAGGGCATGGAATATGTTACTTCCTTGCCAATTCTACAAACTGAAAGCAAATATATTTCAGTGAACTTTAGAAATCCAAAAACAAAACAAACAAGAATAGATTTACATTCACAGAACATCCCAGAGACTAGAGAGAAGCAACAACAGAGTCCTAGAAGCCTAATTAGATGGTGGGTTTGTAAAGAAAACCAAATGGTTTGCAAGTAGTGAGATCATATATGGAGACGTTGTATTAATCTTAATCTCAAAGCCTGGAGGACACATCCCTTCAACTTTTCTTTCCTTCTTTTATGCATTTGGTGCTATTTTAGGAAAGAACAGAGAGAGATGCACTTAGGAGAAATTCTCTTTTCTTCTGTGCTATCCATGTCTTCCTCTCAACCAAAGATAAATTAGTATTTACGCAAGTGTTTATATGCTTACTATAGTGTTATTCTCAAACAATTTGCTGTAGTTGGAGGATTAGTTAACGGTTGTTTTGGAAAATATTAACAAGGCTTGCCCATTGTACAGTATCAGGAGTTGCCTTTTTCTTAAAGCAAACAAACAAAAGGATAGAATCCACTCATTATTGTAAATATGTATTTTTAGATCATTTGATTATTAACAGCTCAGCATAACCCTACAATTTATGCCTGCTTTGTTAATATATTTGCTACAGTTAATAGCATTCCACTTGTACTTATCAAGAAGTATCTAATCTATACGGCTCTTAGTTGTATTCTATGTTTCCCTTAAGGTTGACAGTGAGAGCTGAATGTCCAATGCATTTGAGGACTTCCTATGGATGCCCATGCTTGCTCACCTAAAAATTTGGAAGCTGTGAGTAAATTTATGTGGATTTTTCTTGATTGTGAGTCATTAAGCACGAGAGATCTCTAGCTATATCTGTGAGAAAAGCACATAGATAAGAGAATCAAGAAAATTTAAACAGCACATACTGCATGGGCTTTCCATAAGTAGCGCCTGTGACTTCACTTTTAATGTTGTTTCGAGAGGTTATTCTTTATCTACTGAACTAGAAAACATGGATTAAACTAGTTATTGAAATAATTCTATTTATGCTGAAGTTGTATTTATAGAAAAAGAAGTGAAGTATGGATGCTTTTACCTCATGGATAGTATTTTACTCTCTATTAATGGAGATCATTGTGTCTATTTTATATCTTTACTGACACTTGTTTGATCTTAAAAATAATTAAATTTGTTTACCAGATTAAACTGTTGGTAGATGGCAAAGGACAGTAAGTGTTTCTTAATAAGAAAGCCTACGCTAAACTGATGTTGCAAAAAACACAAATACCCTAATCATAGTCTTAGAAAATTAGCTGATATGTCTGTGTATGTCATGGCATTAATGTATGTATATATATATATTAGTGCTCTTGAAAGTATCCTGATAAATGCCTCATAATAACTTCCTGGGTTTCAGCTGTTTGAAAAATATTCCAGAAACACCTTGCAGGAGCTAAGAGAAAATGACTGTGAGAGTCAGGTTCCCCGGTCTTTTCTTTAATTTCTCTGCTTTCGATCTGTTTACATATACATGGAATGAGTGGGAATAATGTATTCTCTTGGTTTCCTGCAGGGGAGTTATGGCCAAGGACTGAGTCAACTCCTGACTACCTAACCCGATTTTCTGTTCTCACTAGACAGGCAGTCTAAATGACTATTTTGGTGAAGATATGATTCATAGAAGAATAACAGTGGTAGTGTAGGAAGACAGAAAGTAAAGAAAATAGCAAAAGGCCTTCGGGTTCCTAGCAGCATCAGTCCTGAGAGAGAATTTTACTATAAATTCCATTTTGTACTAAACTCAAAGATAAACTACTCAAAATCCTAGCTTAAACAGGCATTTGCAAGTGGAATTCCTTCTCCTCCTTGCCTTTTTTCCCAATTTAACATACATTATTTAACATGAACTATTATGTTTTCTCCTGAATAACAGACCCACTTGTAATAATGATAATATGTACTATATGTTACTTACATGTCATAGAGTATATTAAATATTTGCACATTTATAAGTTCATCTAAATCACAACATAACCTTTACAGTTAGGAAGATCATATGCCATAGTTTGTCTGGGACAGTACCGGCTTGCCTAATATACTGGCATAATTTTTTTAAGAGGCAAGGTCTTGCTCTATTGCCATGGCTGGAGTGCGGTGGCACATCATGATTCACTACAGGCTTGACCTCCTGGGCTCAGGCAATCCTTCTGCTTTAGGCTCCTGAGTACCTAGGATACAGACATGCATGCCACCATGCCTGGCTGGTTTGTAACCTTTTGTATGGTTGTTGTATAGACAGCGCTTCCAGCTGCACGCCCCATCTGTCTCATACCCTCTGGTCTCACAACCTTCCACCGTGGCCTCCTAATTTCTGGGATTACATAGCCACAGTGTCCAGCCTGGCAACACCTACACCCCCTTTATCTTAAAAAGTCCTAATTTGGAAAATGAACTGCATATTTTTAATGTTCATTCAGGAATGTTTTCAGCAGTGAGAATAACTGAAAAAGGAGAGTTTATCATTTTATATAAGATATGTGAAAGCATGTTGATAGATTTCTGATTGGTTCAGCATCCTAACAAGGCCACTGTCTTCAGATGTCTTTAGATTTTCCTTCTCATCACAAGGTGACTGCTGTAACTCCAGCCATTGCAACTCTGTTCATGATAGAAGGTAATAGTTGGTAAAAATGAAAGGAGTAGTGTTTATGTAAGAAAAGATAGAAACTTTCCCTAAAATCCTAATAGAAATCTACCTACATCTCATTAATCAAATGTCTCACATTGCCACTGATATTTGCAAAGAAGACTGGAAGTAAATATTTAATTGACACATTGTCAACCTGAAGAATATTGGAGGTATTTTAAGAAGAGGTAAATGTATAGTGAGTAGAAACAGTGTGTCATATAAGAAAATTGAAGCTGTACCAAAATAAGCAAGCAAGTAAGCTCGTTTAATTTTTAGAGCTATGTGTTTTTTTTGTTTGATTATTTTTATTGTTTCATAGTATGGCCGACTTCTCTCTCTCCACATGTCGGCATAAATGTCATCTCCTGATGACTCATCGAAATTTGCTTACAGTCTCACCAGTCTTGTTGATTGCAATGCACATTTATTTTATACCATTTATCACAGCAATAATCATTCCTTTTATATATTGTTTAACTTTTTATTATCTGGAGACTATAACGTCATGAGAGAAGGACATATTTGTTTGAGCTTTTCCTAGCAGAAAGGCAAATACACTGTAGGTTCTCAGTAAATATTCATTGAATGGATAAAGGTTACAAGACTCAGGCTTTAAAATGCCCTTCACTGTTTTGTTTTTTTTTGTTTTTTGTTTTTTGTTTTTTTTTTTTTTTTTTTGAGACGGAGTCTCGCTCTGCCGCCCAGGCTGGAGGGCAGTGGCCGGATCTCAGCTCACTGCAAGCTCCGCCTCCCGGGTTCACGCCATTCTCCTGCCTCAGCCTCCCAAGTAGCTGGGACTACAGGCTCGCCACCACCTGGCTAATTTTTTGTATTTTTAGTAGAGACGGGGTTTCACTGTGTGTTAGCCAGATGGTCACCCTCCTGACCTCGTGATCTGCCTGTCTCGGCCTCCCAAAGTGCTGGGATTACAGGCTGAACCACCGCGCCCGGCCTGCCCCCTTCACTGTTTAAGCTTGGTGAAAAGAGATGAAGACCTGTGGAGAATGAAACAGAGCAGACTAGACATCGAAGTGCAGGCTTTGATAGTCATGCTTAGGTGGAAGGAACACCATGGCTGGCCGTCTACTGCCTGGCGTTGGCATGAGAATAGGAAGGGGCAGTCCATTTGTTGTCCAGTCATTTCTCTGACCTGACCTAATTGGCATATTTCAAGGTGAAGAAACTGGAGGCAAGAGTGGCCAAAATATTTGACTCATTTTGAAGTAAACGCTTCCTAATAAATATCAGAGAGACAATAATAGACAAGAGGAGTTTTCACAATTTAGGGAACAGTCTGTAATAAATGTTTATGAGTGTTCTGAAGCAACCCCATCCACATAGTGATAAAATCTAAAGCTGAGAAGCAGTTTTTCTTACCATTCTCTATTAGATTCTGATTGTTAAGGCTAACTTAAACTTTCTACTGGTTATGGATAAAGCTGTCTTTATAAAGCCGCTAACCCCGAGGACAGTGCGCGCGTGATACAACTGTGATCGCTTCCCTGCTTTTTTGAGAAATATACCAAATAAGGCTTTGTTTCCAAAAGAAGAGATTTGGGTTACAGATTCTGACATAAAGACCTAGGCAAAAGGTGAATCTAGTAAGGCCTAATATATGATTGCTTTTTTTTTGAATTAGTTATCTGGAAATATGCATTGTAAACACGGAGAAAGGAATGAGTCAAAATTTAAATGAATTCTGAACAATTTACAACTTTAGAAATCATTTTTTTTCATGTGGTTCATACAAATGGAAACACAGAGACTCATAAAAGCAAAATGATAGTGTCAATTAGCAGCCTCCTGATAACGGTACGCTCTCCCAGTGTTTTACCACCACAGAGTTCTTTCATAACACCAATCAAAACTTTGTTGTCTTTTTCATTTTATTACTAATGTTTTCTTGAGATAGGGTCTCTCTGTTGCCCAGGCTGGAGTGCAGTGGCACAATCATGGCTCACTGGTGGCTCAACCTCTTGGGCTCAAGTGATCCTCATACCTCAGCCTCCTGAAGGACTACAGGCACAGGCCACCACACCTGGTTAATTTTTAAATAAATTTTTGTAGAGACAGAATTTTGCCATTTTGCCCATACTGGTCTTGAACCTCTGGGCTCTATAGATCTGCCCATGTGAGCCTTAAAAAATGCTGTCACTGCAGAAATAAGCCACCATGCCCGGCCACCTTGTGGTCTTATTTTTAAAACTGTTTTGGGGGCAATATAATTTATTTGAAATTGTAACTTAAAATTTTTGGCTAAGTAACTGAAGACTCTTTTTAACCTCACTTTTCTTATGCTGATGTCTCCAGTTGAGTACATTTTCATAGGAACTACTTTCTGGTTACTAAAATTTAAGGAAACAATAGGATGTATCATCTTTTCTAAAGCCTTAAGTATATCTGTATTCTCCATCTTAAAATACCAACTTGCATCATGTGAATCTACCCTTCATTTTGGAAGGTTCTCATGGAGAGACAGAGATAATGAGTCATCTGCACCTTCACAATGATGTCATGCTTGTATTAGGGATGGCCTACATTTTCATATGCAATGGTGCTTCTATGAAATTGCAAGAAATGAGACACCAAAATTATATAAAATGAAAGGCAATGGTAACACATTTTTCCCCTCTACAACTATATTAGCGGCTCAGTAACAACACATGACAGAGGATAGAAAGATAGGGTGCAGACACTGTTGCTAATGGCAGTGCAATATAACGAAGAGTTTTAGTTTGCTGTGAAATGACACAAGATCTAGAATTGGTTTCATCAATAATTGCATGACTAATAAGTATCTTGCTTCGCTTTTATGAGAATATATCTAATATACAGTTTTGTCGAGAAGAATACAAAACACAATAAAGTCAAATGAATGATATCCTAAGTCTTTATCTTGGTTTTCCCAGTTATTAGTAATGTCGCCTTAAACAAATCATTTTTTTTGCCTCAGTTTACCATCTGTAAAATGCAATTAAACTCTATGACTTTTGAGGCATTTGCAAATTGAACATTCAATCATTCCATACTACCATAAACTCATTATGTCTTCTTAGGTAAGACACTTCCATTAAAAAACAATTATTTATCATATTAAAAAATTACTGAATGTAATATCTACAAATTGTAAGCAATACAGTCCTTCTCAAACTACTGTGCTCTCTGCTTCTAAAGAGATTTAAAATCACATTTTAAGGCCCTCCTAACAGACGCAGTACTCCTACTATACAATAATGCTGAAACGCTTTCATTTTTAAGACTATGAGGATAACCACAATTAAAAAGGAAAAGCAAAAATAAATTCAAATTATTCATGTCGCATTTTACATGTCCTATGAACTACTAAATTAAGTTTTAGTTCATTCTCTTAAACTTATGGAAAATTTTGTTTTTAAAAACCATCTGATTATAAATTGATGCAGAAATGATGTTGGAACTGGCAGGCTACCCTTGTAAAATCGCGGAACACTGGCTACATTTTTCTGCATCACTCACCTCAGTGAAAAGTAATCATGCTAGAAGCCTTTGTTTTTGGGACTGAGGGAAGCATGGCCTACATCTTTTCAGGAAGCTTTATTTTCATGTAAAAGCAACCACAGTTTTACACCCCATAATATTTTCATCTGGAGAAAAGGCATTGACAGAATACAAAAGCCTGGTTATTTAAGTGGGGATTGGGTCAAACAGAGGTGCATTCTGACTTTTATGAGCCATAGGCACTTGTGCCTTTGGAGGCCATTCCTCCAGGAAGAAAATTAAAATTATTTCACGACTGAGTTGCTACAAAAATGAATATAATCCAGATTATATTATATTCACTTTATCTTTGGATTTCAAAATAAATTAAAATATTTTTGTACTTTAAAAGTATTGAGGGCCTTGGACCCTGTGCCTAATGGAGAAGTTGACTAAGGCCAACGAGTCAAGCTCTTATCATAGGCCAACATTTACCATGATGCCTCCTCCTCAAAAACACTAGGAAATAGCTTGCTTTTCTAATGTGATATTTTCATAAGTTTTAAACCTCATTCTGTATCTAAATAGAAGAAAGTACGATCTATCATTCCAACGAAATGGGTAAGCAGGACTAGAAATCAGAGAAGGTATGGAATTCTTCTTCTTCTTTCTCACTCTATACAATCTCTCCCTCCAAACTGTGTAAATTATCTATCAGAATTATGACCTAACCTCTCATTAGGAGATGGCCAAGTTCAAAGTGACATGGCAAATAAAATGATTGATAAGAAGAGCTATAGAATGTAACTCATCATCATGGAAAGTATCTATAAGAAGGATAATCAATAGAAAAGAGTGAGAGTAAACTGAGACTTGCTAATGTACATATGCAGCAAAATATCCAGTGATTTTTACATTTGTCACAGACCTTTGCATTTATCATGACCTTTTCCTGGCTTAACAATAATTTGGACCAAAGCTACTGCCTCTAACCCGTTTCATCTCTCATATGCTTCACTTAGTCAGACTGGTCTTCTCAAACTAGTCAAGCTATCTGCACAGAAGAAAACACTTGTGAGGCTGAGACAGGAAGACTGCTTGTCTGGGAAGTGGAAATTGCAGTGAGTCAAGATGATGCCACTGCACTCCAGCCTGGGTGACAAGAGTGAAACTCCATCAAAAAAAAAAAAAAAAAAGGAGAAGGAGAAGGAAGGGGGAGTGGAAGGGGAGAGGGGAGGGAAGGGGAGGGGAGTGGGAGAGGGAGAGGAGAGGGAGAAGGAGAAGGGAGAAGGAGAAGGAGAAGAGAAGGAGAAGGAGAAGCTTGTTAGTTTGTCTATAACTCTTCCCGCAAGATTTTCACGTGTATCTGCCCCTATATTTGTATAATGTCACCTCCCTCTGAGACGACTGTGTCTGGAGCCCCCTTAATTACTTAGACAAGTCTCCATCCCTTCATTCTATCCTTTCACTCTGGCTGTGTATGACTCTATCACACTTATCTTACTTGAAATTGTACATGCTTGTATGTTTTTGTCCTCACTGCTAAGTGTAAAATGCATATTCCATAAGATAAAGAACTTTTGTCTTATGTTCACTAAATGTATCCCCAGCACAAAATTTTGTCCTTTGCAGATCTTTACAACCACTACATCGGAATATTAACAAACGACACAAAAAAAAATCTGAAAATGTGTTTTAGTTTTCGTGAATTAAGGGATGTGTTCTTCTTTCCTAGCCTGCCCTCTGGAACTATGATATAGCAAATATGAAGCTGATAAAGGTAATAACTAAATAAGAGAATTGAAGTGGTAAAATATATGGCCATTTTCTACTGTTTCCTTTTAGATGCTTATACAAGAGCAGAAGTTGTTTATGAATGGACCAGAGAGCCAGCACGCTCAGTGGTTGTAGCAGAAGATGGATCACGTCTAAACCAGTATGATTCTCTCTTTGGACAAACAGTAGACTCCTGGAATTGTCCAGTCAAGTACAGGTAAGTATGATTTACTTCAGATATGCAGGAAGAAGCAGTGAAAAATATTTGTGAGAACTCAATGAGTCATTCAGTAACACAAGTCTAGGGAGAGAAAACATTTCACTAAATTGGGCATCCATTGCTTTGGAACTAATGTAAACACGGTAAACCTGTGACCTGGACATGTCATTTAATGCCTCTGACCGCTGTTTCTGTTTTGTTTGTTTGCAAATTGAGAAATTGCTATATGTGGATTACTGTAGCACAGCAAGAAGCAGTGTGAACTCTAGAGATGAACATCTGGGTTAAATCCTTACTCCTGATCTTGTCAGTTGTTTGTAGCCCTCTTTGCAGGGTGTTGGAAGAAATACATTAATTCATAGGAGAGCACTTATCACAATTCCTGACACATAAACAGCTTTTCATAAATAACTATTTGTATAGTCTAGGCTCCACTTATTACCATTAGTTAATGAATTTTGCCAAATTTGTAGTGGTGATTATTACACGTAGGACATCAAAAAGCCAACCTTTCCACAATTTCATCGCATCTCAACCAAGAATCTTCCAACAGCTAAAGCCAACAGAGCCATAACCACTATTGATCACCTGGTGTGGGAATTAAAAGTAGATGGCATGCCATCCTTTTTAGTGTAGTAACTGATTTACTAATTTATACCAAAACTAGACCAGACACTATGGAAAAGCTGGACTCACATCTTTAATGTTGTTTCAAACAATGAGATAAAAGTTTTGTTATTCAAGTATCCATTTTAGTTATCTGAAATGTGATCATTGTAATTGAGATAATTGTAAATAAAAGCTGGACTCAAACAATTAGATATATGTCCCACAAAGCCTATTGTTTACTGAAAACTTTAACAAGGGTCAACAATTACTTTTTCAAAATTATGTCTTTCAAAATTTAAGTTTATTTTGCCCATCATATTTGTGATTTCTAAGGAAACATGATGTAGTAATAAATAAGAGGAGTGGTGCTAAAACTTTCTTCCTCTGATTTCAGGCTTTATATTTAGAGTCTCACAAGCATAACACATTCAAATAATAGGTCAACCTCTCTTACTGTGATTATTAGATAAGTTCAGATTAATAGGATCTGTCTTTTTCCCTTTGGTTTTAAAGTCCCATTGCTAGCTCTAGAAACTTAAATGTTTATGTCTTTTATTTTTTAAAAATGGGGCTATTTTTTTTTCTATTTCAAATCCAAGTGACATGAAAAATATCATAGCTCTTATAGTGAGGTATGCAACTCAAGTCCTGGTCCTGTCGCTTAGAAACCTTGTGACTTTGGGCAAGTTATTTGTTCATTTGGAACTCTAGTATTGCCTAACTAATGATAGTCCTGTATTTTGTATTAAAGATGAAATAATATAAAAATATTGTAGAGTGTTATATAGTAGGTACTCAAAATGGTAAGAGCTGTTGCTGTAGTCCTGAAATATCCCAAAACATGAAAAATGCTCAAGATTTTTCCTCTACAACATACTATGCTGGAAAAGATACGAAAATAAGCTGTAGTTCTGTGTTTACTTTTGAAACTTGGAATGTCATTATAAGCTGGATATAATGGCAAAGGTCACTTGCAGACTAAAATGATAGATAAGCTCAGATCTTGCTGTCATGGAACTTGAGGTCTAAGGGAAATTGAACACATAAACTATACTCATCAAAATTGGTAGTTTAAGTGCTGCATTAGCGTGTTTTGTGTGTGTGTGTGTGTGTGATGGAAGAGACCACATCTGTCTTCTGTATCCTTATTATTTTCTGTAGTAGTTGAGATTATAGGAGGCATTGAACAAATATTTTGAATTAATGAATAAAAAGTGAATCCAGCCTAAGATGATCTAGGCTACTGTTGCAGGGTTGACTTTTCATTTTGTTAGTTGGAATATATTGGGGGGTAAATAATCACTCTCTAGGATCCAGGCAGATCACATAATGCACACATAACTTTTCCTCAAGGAACTCCCCATCTATTTTTGTTAGAAAGGAAGTTGGAGAATGTTGGGAAACAATTCAAATGCAGTAGTATGTAAGCCATAGTGCAAATATGTATGAAGTCTCAAAGGTTGCTTAGAGGAGGAAATATTCCTACTCTAGTTTTAGCTTTAACAACCTTAGTCATGTTACTATAGCCCTCTTTATGCCTGAGATCCCATGTGTTCAAAATTAGAGGCTTAGTCAAAATAATGGAGGCCTTCCTCACCTTTGGCTTTCAAAGGATTCAACCTATCTACATTCTGGATACTCAGAAAAAAAATATGCAGTCATTCAATAGAATGAGAGACAGTGGCCCAACCCATTGCCACCTATGAGGGTAGACCTCTTGGTTGGGTCCATTAGAAGTAACCATTCTGTGCTAGAGCAGTAAGTTCAGCTACATAAAATAAAAGCTTTTTCCTGTCACCACATAGTGAGTATTGGTAGGTAAGAAGAATAATGAGCAAATTCTCAAATGGAAGCTCAGTTTGATATATGTTTCAACTCCACAATAACACACTGTATTACACTTCCTCTGGGACCACTTTAGCTCACCAAGAATCCACCTTGATAGATTTCAGTAGAAAGAAACAGAGACCTTTGTGTAAGGTCTGCAGTGCTGTATTTTACGTCTCTTTGTGGAGCCCTGAAAACATTAAAATAAATGACCTTGAGTACCATTACCTCCCTGTTTCTGCCAGAAGACTGGAGAATGATGGTGAGAGAGAACACACACATTGAGAATGACTAAATAAAAGGCATCTTCTTCTACTTTAAAATTATCCCTGGAGAGAGAATCATTGAATCCCCTTGGGAGTTTATAAAGTGCTGTCCTATTTGCCTGCCACCAACACATGTGAAAACAAACACACAATCCTACTGACCTCTTTGAGGTCAAAATATTTTCTAAATCACTTCATTAACAAAAGAGGGAAAAAGATGGAAATCCTAGCACAATATTTGAATTTCTAGTTCAGTACAAATACATTAGAGGTACAATTTCTTCCTTGGATTCTGCCATTAAATTTAGGAAAAGAATATTTAGTTAGAGCCTCAGTTTTAAGTGCCGTTACTCACCTGGCAGAAAAATACTATTTGACAGAGTATATGGCAGAGAAATAAGCAAACGGGAAAGATGATCCAGTTGGTTTTCAAATCCAATGTATCTTTATTATTCATTTGTTTGTCCATGTATTCCTTAAATTGCTTGTTCATTTACTGTGTCTGACACGGTGACTGGGCTTGAAGAAGAGAGATGAAAGGCACAAATCCCCTGCCCTTCAGAAGCTCTTAGTTGAGTGAGATAAATAGCTAACATGCATTGGCATTGTTCTATTCTTCATATCCAATACTCACAAAAATCCTAGAATTTAGGTAGTATTATTATCCCCATTTTACAGATGGGATATATGGGGGCCCAGAGAAGTTTAAACGTTATTCCAAGGTCACACAGCTGGGAAGTGGCAGAACTAAGATTTGAACCTGGGTTGTCGACCTGCAGGGTATGTACTCTCAACTACATGTCATACCAACAACAGGCGTCAGAGACACATAAGATGTGGAAGCATATTTATTAAGAGTATCAACCCTGAAGTTATACTACAAAGATTTCAATGCTGGTTTTGCAACTTCTTTGCTGTGTGACTTTTGACAAGTATTTTAATTTTTCTTTTTTTTTTTTTTTTGTATGTATCTTTTTCATGAGCTATTGTGAGATGGAAATAAGGAAATGTATGTAAACTGCCTAGAAGAGTATCTGGTTTGTAAAATGTATGCACTAAGTGTCTGATATTACTATTAATAATAAGAGTAGGGCTGGGTGCAGTAACTCATGCCTGTAATCTCAGCACTTTGGGAGGCTGAGACAGGCAGATCAGATCACTTGAGCCCAGGTGTTCCAAACCAACCTGGGCAACATGGAGAAATCCCATCTCTACAAAAAATTAAAAAATTATCTGGCTATGGTGTTGCATGTCTGTAGTCCCAGACACTTGGGAAGCTAAGGTGTGAGGATCACATGAACCCAGGGAGGTAGAAGCTGCACTGAGCCGAGATTGCACCACTGCACTCCAACGTGGGTAACAGAGTGAGACTCTGTCTCAAAATAATAATAAAGCTAGTATAAGGGAACTACGTGATGGCATAAAGAAGAGGTCATTTCTACTTGATGTGTTGAGGGTGGCATAACCCCTTGCTTCTTTCCACCCTCACCACATTATCTTTTCTAAGTAATTTTTTAAGGAGAGCCCATGCAAAAATTACTACAGTGACTTAAGGACATGAAATATAACTTATAAAGAAAAATAAAATAATTCAATTGGGCGTGAAGCATAATATCAGTGTCCAGAAAACAATAATAAGGTAATGCCATGCAATGTTTTAAAAACACACAATGATGACTGCAAGTTCTCCATATTTACCTAAATAAATTTGATTATAAGAAAATTTGGTAAGTTTGGTGAAAAAGAAAGTTTCTTCTGAATGACTATTGTTAATCCTTAAAAGAGATGACTAAGAAACATTGTAGGATTCTCTTTTTTGGACACAGAGTCTTCTCTGCATGAGTTGATGTGATGATGATCCTGAAGGATCAATATAATAAGAAAAACAACGGTCTTCTTTGACTAAGGAGTAACAATGGTGATCAGCATTCATCCAAAGAGCCAAGGAGCTTCCATTTATAAAGACTAATACATGGTGTCCAGAGAAATAATTTTAACTAGAGAATGCAAGTTCTGGGGCAGGGGGAAAGGACTTCTGTGGTCATTTGGTCAAATCATTTATATTTCAAATTGAGGACATGGCCCCAGCAAGGCTAAATGATCTAGAGCTATGATCAGTGTCCCCTTATCTCTATTTAGAATCTCTGAAGCAATTAAAAAACATAACTACCACTTTCGCAATAATATTCTTGATAGAAAAATCATTTTTCAATATTAGTATCCATAGAAAACATCAAGTTTAGAATACTTGCAAGGAAAATGACAGCTTCACAAAGAATCAGTGTTCAATACAATTTTGTTGAATGACCAAGTTGGTTGATTCTCTGAGCTAGAGAGAGAATACATGTCTGTGTTTTTAATCTTCATGCTGTAAATCTCCATAGAAATCAAATTTTTAAAAAGTACTTTCACTCATATTATGTAATTTTATCCTCACATCATCCTAGGAGACAGTTAAGTTAAATACTATTAATTGGACAAATCAGGAAACTGAAGCCAAATGAACCCACACAAGGTATTTACCTTCAAGTAACTAATATATGAGAAAGCAAAGATTGAAATCCAGGTCTAAACAAACCTTTAATGCTGTTTTGGAAAATGATATTAGTTTCCTTTCTTCCACTCTCCTTAATTTTGTATTGCAATATATCAGAAATATTGTCACATCTAATTTAAAAGCTCCCTTCAGGGTTAAATAAACTGCAAGGATATTTGAATTACAATTATCCTAGATTGTTGAATTAGAGGAAAATAATTTGACATGCTTTGTGCATAAGCACTTTGTCTAGACATATTATTTCAATCCAATTTAGGTGACTGGGATTTTTGTTTTTGTTGTGTTTTTCTTTCATTTTAAAGTTATTACATGATTCTGATATTGCTCCCCTTTTCTTCCTTATTTGAAAGTTTTGTGCCAACACTCTTAAAATTGTATTTAATTTAGGAAAAGGTTTCAAGACATTGGAATATCTTCTATTTCTCCTGTAATCTGTTAGGGAAAAAGTTGTTTATAAAACAAATATAATGTCAAATAATAGCTCTTCAGATCTCAAAAAATTATATTCTCTTCAGGATCTTTGCAAAAATGTCATGTTGAGAACAACAAAAGATAATGGAATGTATACACACCCTCATTTTTCTGATATTATATAAAGATGAATTTTTTTTCTTTGAGCTGGTGACATTTTGCAGGCTGCAATGGAATGAATTGTTAGGAATCATAATGCGTGCCCCTGAGATGGTGAAGTGTAGCATGGGTATGTCCACACAGGACTATATTTCAGTAGTGTTTTGGAAAAATTGTTTGTCTACATTTTTCTAAAATCTGGATCACTTCTTTCTTTTCAAATGACCTTAAAGGTATCACTAGAGGAACACACAGAAAATAATAAGAAATTAATCTGGTAACGTTCCATTTGTCCTTTAAAAGAAAGATGTTTGTGCATTTTGTTTTGATTGAGTGACTGTAAGCCTCAGTGCATCCATTTTCACTATAGGCAGGTATTAAATACTGAGGATATGGCTGGTCATGCTACATAACCAAATAACTATTATTCTCTTTAATTAGCTTTTAGTTTGGTGGGAGGGGTATATGTAGTTAAATAATTAAAATGCAAAATATGAGATATTGTTAATATAAACAAGAGTTGTAAAGTTGAACACAGTAAGTGTGCAGTAAAGGGCAGGTACTATTATCAATAACAATTAATAATGAAATCAGGCATAAGTACATAGATAACTTCCTGCTAGAGAAAGCAGGATGTGTTATTCTACCAACACTTCTACGAATTCTGATTGAGGAGAAATGTGAAGAAAACGGAGAAACAAGTTAAATTTTTTTTTAAACATTTTAACGTGGTTACATAGTATCATCTTAATTAGAACCATTATTCTTTTTTATCCCAATATTGTGCTTTTGACTATTTTGTAAACAAGAAAACTAAGGATAAGAGAGTTTAAGTGAGTTACCAAAAGCAACGCAACAGGAAAATAGCAGGTCTGGGTTTTGAAGTCAAATTCATTTGCTTCCAAAAACTAATACATTTTCTTCTATAGGACAATAATTTCTATTCCACTGAGGACCTGGTACTTGGGCTGGAACCAGCCTATAGACAAGCAAAATATGCAGTTGCAGAAGATAAGTAGAGTTTTGTAGGACAATATATGGAGATGTTGAAGTGTTTGAAGAGACAAAGGAATTCAGTGCATATTAGAGCTATGCTATGCATAGTCTTAAACACAGATTAGAAAGTTTGCTTTTTACTTTGTAAAACTGGAATCAGTTTATACTGTCACACAAGAGAGGGGCAACTGTTTACTACTGGCTTCTAGTGTGTAGAACCCAGGAATGCTGCTAAACATTCTACAATGAATAGGGCAGCCACCTTCAATAAATGATTTTCTGTTCAAAATCATCAATAGTGCTGAGGTTGAGAAAGCCTAGTGTTGCTAGTTGGACTCCATTAAGATATTTTAAGTTAAAAAAAAAAAAAGAGTGGCAGAATCACACATGTGAAAGATCACTCTACATCAAAATTTAGGAAAAATTGGTGTTAGGATGTGACTAGAGCCAAACAAGAAACAAAGAAGGCACGAAGGACTGGAGGCAAACAAGACACAGTCTACAAGGTAAATAAGCACAGTGACCATGAGGTCAGAAGAGATAGAAGCAGTGATAATGCCCAGGAGAAACTGAAATTGTGGTGATCAGCTGACTCCTTCCTCTCTCTTTCCATAGCACTATCTAACATCCAGTGATTAATTCCTGGTTTGTAGCTTGAGTGAACTGACCAATGATAGTGCCACTAGTTAAGAAAGGATCTCAGTGAAGAAGCAGCATTGCTGCATGCTGGTCATTCTTTTGTGGAAAAAGTTAGCTATGGTTGGCTATTTTGGACAAATCTAATTGGTGGTGTCAATGAAAACCAGCATCTGTGGGATGAGATATTGTCTAGTCTAGATTTGGGAATACAGAATAACTGTTAGTTATTTTGAAGATGTGGTCACTTACAGATGTAAATTTTGTAGCCATCTGCACGTCTAGATAAAGATGACACTAGAAGCAGGGGTGAGAGGAAGAATTCCTTGTTACAGACAAGAGAAAGTAAGGAAGAGAGTTGAGGGCAAAATTATACCTCATTTTCTTCAGAAATCCCTATTTTTAGTTTGAAGAAAAATGAAAAGAGTGGCCCAACAGATATAAAGAATTTGATAAATAATTTTTATTGAAATAATCAATGAGTGCGCAAAATAGATTAAAAATGAGATATAAAATGAAAATAGAAATCAAGAGTGTACCATCAATAAGGCCAGGACAGGCATTTCTTAAAGCTGTGAGGAAGGTGTGTAGCCAGCTCCAGCTCCAAGACTGAGAAAAGGGCTTTAATTATAAAGATTAACAGGTTCTGAACAGTGGTAGTCACTTGATAGGGACTGAGGTCAGAGGCACATAGGCTGAGAAAAATGTTAGGTCAAGTAGGGAGAAGTTTGGAGAAGAAAGGAAGGAGAAAGGTGAGTTCTAAAGAGAATGGTGCTTTCTTAGCCATAACACATCTGTTTTTCTCCTATCCATCCACAGATAATTAACCCTATGTTCTGAGTGAATAAGGCTAAACAATTCTAAGATTTTTAACTGAGAAACTGTAAAGCAAAAAGAGAAACAATAAGACCCTCCTGCAATTCGGGTTGTGTGGCTACTGCTTTATACCTCTAACTGAAGGCAGAATTTGGAGTATTTAAGGACCTTGGAGAGCGCCTAACTAGACCACTGTTTCCCACATCAGTCTAGGAACTGGGACAAACTCAAAAGCTGGTTATAAATATACAGATTTTCCTGGCCATTCAAATAACGGTTTGTAAATCTAGTTGGGATTTGAAGAACTGCATTCTTCAAAAGTTTCCCAGATGATCCTGGAAAATAAATTCTGAGAAACAAAAGGTTCTAGCCCACTCTCTTTATTTTGTAGATCAGACCATGCTAAATTACTCATCTGATGTCAAAGAGATACTTAATGCAGTTCTGGAGCTAAAATTAAACTGTCCTGACATACACACAAAAGCTTCTTCAGTAGGTATTGTGGATCTGCTCTGTAATGGACACACTGGAGATCTGATCTGTTTCTGATCCATTGGTCTACGTCACAGGGTTTAGCATTTTGCCTTCTCCGTCAGTTTAAGGATTGGAAAGCCAGTCCTTAAATATAAACTCAAGTTTGTTCCTTCAATATGTGATGTATTTGAATTAAGAGGTAAGAATATCTTTAAAGACTCTGGCACCTCAGAGTCATTTTACTGTGTGTTAAGTATGTTTCTTTTATTTTCCGGATAAAAACTTTTTTCCCCAAGAACTGGATGTCACATGGAGAAAGGATGTGTCTAACTCTCAGACGTTTGGCACTCGTAGTAAATCTCAGAGATTACTTTTTTCCAAGGTCAAATTGCTCATCTTTCTTGTCTGTTTTACTTCTCAGGAGAATATGTTGTTATGACCACTCATTTCCACTTGAAGAGAAAGATTGGCTACTTTGTTATTCAAACATACCTGCCATGCATAATGACAGTGATTCTCTCACAAGTGTCCTTCTGGCTCAACAGAGAGTCTGTACCAGCAAGAACTGTCTTTGGTAAGTGCCGATCAAGATACATACCCAAGGAAAGGTATGGAGGAGAAGTTATGTCATATCTGTGATGTTGCAAAGAGAAATTAAAAAAAAATTATACATTCAAATATGAAGTTCATACAACAGAAAGGTTCAAGAAATTGCCACTGTCATTATGGTATGTGGTTTTTTTAAAAAAACCCTTAATTCAACTAGCATGCTGTTTTAGTATTTATGAATAGATGGTATTAATGAACATTTGATTTGATATTTTGAGATAAAAATGACATGAATCAGGCACAAAATGCATAATATTAAAAATACATAAATAAAAACTTAATATTTAAATAATATATTTAGGATATATAACATGAGTCACTGAGTTGTTCGAGAAGCTTAGAAGATATCAGCAGAACTACTTATTTACGTTAATAAAAAGCAGGGTTTCTTTAAGTAGGGAGAGCTAATTAATGACCATTGTATCAGTACGGGAATATGTCACTTTACCTGATGTGTGCACTTCTGTAGAGTTACATGCATTCATTTTTTCTATTATGACATTTTTAATGACCTACATGCTTCAAGTTAAGAAATATAATTGAGTATTGTTTAAAGGGTAAACAACCTTTTACTAATATGAAAACTTATTTCCTTATGTATTATTTTAGAGTGTGCATTTGATATGAAAAGGTATTTCCTGCCTATATCCCAGTATACTATCTCAACTGTATTTTACAGGTTGATAAAAATGAAAGATTCCAATACAATATCTTCTAGACCCAGAATGCAGTAGTGAACTGAACACAAACCACCACTCTCCTTACAAAAATTGCATTCTGAAGCTTAAAATTGAGTAATCACAAAATCAAATGCTTTTATACTAGGCACTATTCTATACGATTAGCCTATATTACTTAACCATAAAACAAATTCTATCTGCCATTATTCTTTCCGGTTTTAAAAGTGAAATCTAAGAAACAACAGATTAAGTAATCTGCCCATAGTTAGGAGCTATTAGATGGAGCCAGGACTAGGACCCTAGCATTTAGCTCTGGAGTGTGTTCGCCTAATAACAATGCTGTATCATCACCTCTGAGCTATCCTGCTGCAATGAAAATAATTGAAATGGGAGTATTGTGGTTAACTTCATTTGGAAATCACAACTACATATTTATTGGTTAAAGGTGCAATTATCAAGGTTCATTCCACAAATATCAACTAGGCACCTGCTGTTTTTAAGAGCTATGCTAAAGGATAAAAGCCTTAAGAAGCTTATAGTCTAAACTGAGGATTATTCACCTGAAGAAATTCCTGTGATATCATCTTTCAATAATATGTAGTGTATGAAATATCAGTAATCTCAGAAAAAAAAAAACAGGACTCTGCTACAAGTACCAGAAACGTGTATTTTCTTCTGAACTTGGCAATATGCTTCTAGATTGGCAAACACCAAGTCATTGCTCTGACAATAGCCTAAGCATATAGCTAAATTAATATTCAGAATAATTGCAGCTGCAGAACAAAAGAACAGTTCATTGCATACTCATTCTTTCCCATTACCACGTGTCAATATGAACTAGCAATGAAGTCGCTGAAGACTAAGTGTTGTTAAGATACTTATATCTGTGTGAGTCTGCCTTTTTCTCACCAGGAAATTAAAAAAATAAATGCAGGACGTATTTATGTTTTGTTTTATTTTAGTTTTGTAGTGTGAGTACAACACTATATTGAAAAAGATTATTTTAAAAGGTGATATTCCCCTTCCCACACCAACAAATTCTACTCTTTTGATTCGAAAATTATTTACAGCATTTCAGATGGTGTAGGTCAGAAAATATTGCTATTCACTTTTTCAGCAATCTTATACCTCAACAGACTCATGGCCTTTGATGAACATAACTATATGTTTGTAAACTTAGTTGTGACAAGTATTTTTGTGTTTCAAGTTTTATGTTTCTAATATTTTAAGTTCACTAGAGTCACGAATACAATTTTCTAGACTTTTCACCTTTTAACATTTATTTTGTACATGTTTCTATGCTTTTTAGTTTGAACTCAGCACATTTTTTTTCCTGAGCTCTGTGAGATGCCTAGAAGGATCATGTGGATTTAAAAAGAATAAAAGAACCAACCAAACAAAAGTTGTACTTGTTAGTATAACCATTTATTAAAAGACATCCAGAATGAAACAAGGTTGCAGTCTATCTTACGCCTTAAAAGACCATATTCTTGGTTTTCCATGCTGTCTCTCATTTGGAGGCAATGTGGTCACTTAATTTTGCTGCCAAATACATCCAAGTTTGAGATTCAGTCTCACCACCTACCAGCTGTATGGCATTGGCAAATTTGCTTCCTCTTATGGAGCTTCAGTTGTCTGTTAAATGAAAGTACAAGGAAAGTAAAGTAATGCTGTTTTTTTTTTAAAAGTGAGACAAATAAAATAAAATATATACATTGTCAGGTTCGGTACTTGGAACTTAAAAGCTGTTCAACAAATCTATGTTCTTTCTCTTTTCCTATAACAGGAATTGTATTATCCTATGGCACAAATTGTATCTTTATGTTAATCTTCTTAACTGCTCTTAATTTATGGACACATTTGGTTTAAAAATACCCATTCCCACATTACTTCTGACAGCTGACTACATAAACCAAATTTATTTTAAAAAATTGAATTTATTGTAGTAGAGATTTATCAAAAAAGACTAAAGTTGTCAATTATAATAGTCATTAGTTTTGCCCTTATTATCAGGCTAAGTGCTAAACACTTCATTGCATTACCTTACTTAATATTCATAATAGCCCTCTGAGTTAAACTTATTAAATCAACTTACAAGAAAAAAAAATTGATAAACCCCAGAAGCTCAGGATTTTAAGGCAATTTTCTCAAGGTCATTCAGCAGTTACAGAACAGGGATTTGAAACTCAGTTGCCCTGAATTTTAATTACCCTAATATTTGCTAAAGTTAATATTGATATGTAAATTCAGGAGCCCGAATTTACATGTCATTGCATTTAATCCTCATGATAGTCTTTTGAGTGAGTGAGCAAAAATGTCCTTCTCCTAGAATTTCAACAATGGTATAGACACTGGAGAGAATGAAAGACAAGTCATCCCTTTTACAGATATGGGGACAGAGATTCCTACAAGTTAAATCACTTAGCAGAGGTCATAGAGCTAAGTGGTAGGGCTGAGACTAGTCACTGGAAGAGGTTAGAATTATTTCTAAAATATGTGGCCTGGTCCACCCTGAATGGGTAACTGTGAACTGTTTTTTAAACATTTTCAAATGGTTTAAAGGGAACCTGACAGCATTATACTTTTGTACTGAGTATAGTGCATTACATAGAGTAGGTTGACAGTATTTGGTAAGTGAACGTTAGAGGGTATCATCTTTCTCATACTAGCTTATATAATTGTGTAAGTAAATCAAAATGGGCTAACTTGAAAACTTCTTTGAATAGAGGACATTTTAATCACTAGGGGTGGATGTGCAGAGTAAGAAAGACGAGGCAGCCTTATCAGAAAGAAAAAAAGATTGTAACATTTGAACAATTGTGTTCAAATGTTGGTACTGCTACTTCTTAGCTGTGTATTCTCTAGCAAGTTACACAAACTATATTATTATATATATGTGTATATATATATGTGAGTGTGTGTATATGTGTATGTATATGAGACACACATGTCTCTATCTATATATGTCAGATTTAGGAATTTCTTTAAAAGTGTAGCTATTTTTGAATCAGGAAAGATAGCGTAAAACCATGAGCCAAAAATGTGGCAATTATCCCCAAATTGTTCAATTATCTATAAATTTTCAAAAAGTTGCTGGCATCCTGTTTTATATATTTAGGGTACATAGAACATTAAACAGAGCTGAGTAACCAGAAGTTGCTTGTGGATCACAGGCAGTGAAGATCTGTGATTTCTATATCAAGAACTAGGTTCAGTGAGGAATATTATTTCTTGTCTTACCCAGGACACCCAGGTTCAAAGTGCTAATTTAAAGAACTTGCTGTCTTCTTAACAGCACCTCAATAGCAGAGAATTTTATTCCTACAAGATATCTTCCTCAGTGCTGCCATTCCATGAATCACAGACCACACTGGAGTTAAATTAAGACTTGTCAATTCCAAACCAAAATAAGATGATCTAGAAACCAAATTCTGTCATGATACTATTGATTTCCTTTTGTTCAAGTAGGCTGTCCTATCATGGTGAAATTTCATAGTATGAACTGGCATCACGTATGGTTTACTTTTTCCCCCTTACAGGAGTAACAACTGTGCTCACCATGACAACGCTAAGCATCAGTGCCAGAAACTCCCTCCCGAAGGTGGCTTATGCAACAGCTATGGATTGGTTTATTGCAGTGTGCTATGCCTTTGTGTTCTCAGCTCTGATTGAGTTTGCCACAGTAAACTATTTCACCAAGAGAGGTTATGCATGGGATGGCAAAAGTGTGGTTCCAGAAAAGGTAAATGCTTTAATAGTCACTGTAGTACATCACTATTATGTCTCTTTAAACCTATGAAATGGTATGTTTGGGTCTGTGGTCTTGGATGGAGTATGCAGAATAATAAGGATTCTTTTTTTCTTATGTCATAAACAATTAAGTGGCATGACAACTTTGTTACTGCTAAAGGGAGAGGTCATTCAGGTGAATAGATGTATAAAGTGGAGGAGATAAAGGAGAGACAGGCGAACATTTCTGGTCAAATATGCTTTCCTGTGGTTTCTCTTGATTTGAGAACAGTTTTGATAAACCTAATATTAGGAGCAAATAAACTTACTCACATCCTTTATTTACCAACTGCATTATACTTTTGTAACTTGAAAGTTATATTCTTTTGGTTATTTTCTGAGCCTAATCATTTGGTCATAAATGTATAACCATAATGACTCAATTAAACTAAGTTTGCCACATGAACCATCCCTAGTTCTCTGCAAAGTCAAGGGCAGGCACATTTTCTCTTTCCAAAATAGACATACGCTTTAGGGATCATAACACACAGAAATTACCAAGAAATGCCTCATGGTAGAAAATGTTCAAGTTGAGAATACTGCTGCTTCCCTCAGTTAGAACCTATTACACAGTATGGATTTTATGTCACAGCTTGGGAGGATAACTCTATTTGTGGGGTTTGAAGAACAAGCATGTCAAAATGCAAGTAAACTTTGGGATGCTATGATGAAGAGCAAAGACAGAGACAAAGAGATTTTAAGATGTTTAGAAATAATCTAGAAGGAGTCACTTGACAGCAGCTTTTCTGAAACTTGGTTCTACCGAATATTAGTGTCTTAAGATACTCCCTGAAAATTCAGTTCTATGTTGATGCCCTCTTGAATATTGCTACATACTGTATTTTCTGGTCACAACATATTAAAGGGGCTTAGAAGTTCTATAGTAAATAAATTGTTTTAACTGTGTTTATCCCATAGTTACACAAATGCATTAGATAAGAAAATCTTCTGTAGTGGTAACATTGACCATATTTGATAAAATCTAAGGTGCTGCACTTCTTGATGACAAAAGGCTATTAAATACTGTCTGCATTTTTAATTTATTGTAATAAGACAGGCATACATTATGTTTTTAAATTCTTAAATAAGGCACAGATTTAGGTTGCAAAATTAGGGCCACCTTGCTCAGCAACTTACTCTTTTGCTTCTCACTGTTTACTAAACAAAATGCATTACTCTTTCTTTTTACAGCCAAAGAAAGTAAAGGATCCTCTTATTAAGAAAAACAACACTTATGCTCCAACAGCAACCAGCTACACCCCTAATTTGGCCAGGGGTGACCCAGGCTTAGCCACCATTGCTAAAAGTGCAACCATAGAACCCAAAGAGGTCAAGCCCGAAACAAAACCACCAGAACCCAAGAAAACCTTTAACAGTGTCAGCAAAATTGACCGACTGTCAAGAATAGCCTTCCCGCTGCTATTTGGAATCTTTAACTTAGTCTACTGGGCTACGTATTTAAACAGAGAGCCTCAGCTAAAAGCCCCCACACCACATCAATAGATCTTTTACTCACATTCTGTTGTTCAGTCCTCTGCACTGGGAATTTATTTATGTTCTCAACGCAGTAATTCCCATCTGCTTTATTGCCTCTGTCTTAAAGAATTTGAAAGTTTCCTTATTTTCATAATTCATTTAAGAACAAGAGACCCCTGTCTGGCAGTCTGGAGCAAAGCAGACTATGCAGCGTGGAGACAGGATTCTGACAGAGCAAGTGAAAGAGCAAAATCATGTCAGAAGGAGACAGAATGAGAGAGAAAAGAGGGGCAAGACGGTTCCAAGATACAAGAAAAAGTAGAAAAAAAAATAACACTTAACTATAACCCCTAGGTCATTTGTAGATATATATTTCCAAATATTCAGAAAAAAAGATACTGTATATGTCAAAAATATTTTTATGTGAAGGTGTTTAAAAGGATAAATTATAAATGTTTCATGAAGAAAAATCTTTAAAAAATCTATGTCTTTATTACACTATGGTGTGCTTATGTTTTTGTTTTGCTTTTTAAACTGATGTATAGCTTTAACATTTTGTTTCCAAAGCTGAAGATCCCCATTATTTCTCTTTGAAAAAAAAATGCCTAACACATTATTTTTGTCATAAAACGCTCTTTTAAAATTCATGGAACTTTCATAGGCAAAGGTGCGGTTGCTCATTGTAGAGCACATTTAGTCCAATGAAGATAAATGCTTTAAGCAGGTTTCTTCACTTTCATCTGAGCTTTTACCGCTAGACTCAAGGAAGAATAATTTTAACAGACATGTATACTCAATAGAAACTAAACTAAAATAATTTTAAAATATTTCCTTTTTCACCCTATTTTCAGATAGCACATGAGCCCAATACTCACTTAATTCTCGTTATGAAGATGTTTTTAGAGGGGCAAAAATATTTTGCAAGCTCTGGAATTGTTGAATGTATTCTTTTATATAACTACATTAAAAGCTTTAGATTGAAATTTATGACTAGCAAACAAAAAATAGAATATATAAAAGATATATGTAAATATACAGCATGAGATTGTACATTTTTTACTTTTTTAAAATTGTGTTCTTAAAATATTGTGTAAGAATCACTGCTCTTAGCTGTTAGAATGTTGTTAAATGCTATGGAAATACATTTAGAACCTGCATTTAAGAACAGAACAGCAAGTAGGAACCACATGGAACTTAAAACATATGGGTATGAAGTCCACTTACGTAGACAAAACTTATAATTTCCAAACTGTTGTCTAGTATACAGTGATCAGTTGCTATCTGTTCAAGTCATGCCATACATTTCCCTATTTTAGGCTATTGTAATATAGAAAGAAAATGGGAAGCATTAGTTGGAACTAGAAAATGAACTGTATATTATGCTATATTTGCTAACACCAACTATTTCAATAAGTGTTGTACCATATGTAGCATTAAATATAAAATACATAAAAGAATGTACAGAAAATAGCTTTTATTGAGTAATATTATTACATTTCATTTATACTGTAGCAATATATTTCTAGGTATACTATGTAAGGGCTTTAAATAAAAGAGGTCCATTAATACTTCCTTATAAAAATTCTAGTCTGTTTCATTACTGCCCAGATGTTTTAGAGATAAATATTTATGCAGAAGGTATTTTTGAAGTCTCCTTTTGTCTGATAGAGTTTAAAAGATATTTAAATTTAGTGTTCAGAATCCACAAGTCACGGTCTAAACACACTTAGAATACTACAGCATAAACCTGTTAGCATTATTGCCAAATAAGACAGTTGGGATCCAAACCCAAGTTTTGAGCAACGTTTTTTCTCAAAAAGCTGCTATCCAATGATATAGGAAAATACACCGTGTTTTCCTAAACACACTTTTCTTTTTGCGTGTGCTTCATTGTTTGATTTGGTCCTGCCTAAATTTCACAAGCTAGGCCAATGAAGGCTGAATCAAAGACATTTCATCCACCAATATCATGTGTAGATATTGTGTATAGAAAATAAAATAAATTACGGCTCTAACTTCTGTGTTGCTGTTTATCTTGTTATTTTTCGGCGTTATCCTAATGTGTTTATTGAGAGCATTTTACCTTCCAGACTTCTCATGGCTAACTTTTGGTCTGTATTTTGCTCCTTAGATGTGAATATTTCTTATTAGTCTGCTTCCTGCTATGCAATGACTGCATTTCTATCATTTCTCAGTTTGTTAGTATATGTGGATACTATTCTACTGTATAAATGATTGCAAAGTTTATCAAAAACAAATTATTCTATGTAGCTTTTCTACAGTGCTTTGCTAAACCATGTAGTACTAGTTAAGTCTTCCTTGAAAATAAAGATACACTCTTATAGGGGACAGTTCCTGTTTACTCCCAGGAAATTTTTTTAAAAGATGACACTGAATGTTTATTGCACTTTAGTGCAGTGAAGTGGCAATAAAACCTAACATGAATCAAAGGTTGTTTATGGCAGATGCATGTGTTGCTTTACGGAGTTTAGCAAAAGCTCTTAATTTTATGTCATACTGTATTCTACTACAATAATAAAGCTAACATTATTCAATAATAAAATGGAATACTTGACTTTCTTTTCATATTTTGAAAGGACTTTTCATTGCTCTGTTTTAATGCATTTTTACATTAGAAGCACCTAAAAGTACCAACTGCTCGCAGGAATCTAGACTACTGGAAAGATACTAAAAAATATTAATAGTATGATCCTAAACTATGATTTAGAAAAATTATTTATAATATAAAAATGAATTAAACACCAGGTTTCTGGTATTACTGGTAGCACTTCGAAATTTATGAAATATAAACATAAGAGAATGAAAATGCTGAAATGATAATGGAATTTGCTCATATGTATTGATAGTATAGGAAATTCATTTTCCATTCTATCCTGAGACACTGATTTAATTGTTTTGAGGTTACATCTGATCATTGTCATTTTATAAGCTGTTCTGGTGACTCTCAGTATGTAGCCAAAGTTGTTACATCATTAATACTTTTCATTTTAACTTAAATTCCTTAAGGTTTCCATAATCAGTCACATCAAGGTAAAGAAATACTTATAATCACACAAAAGACAATAGAAAAATCATTTCAATGATAGGCATAAAACCATAATTGGTTTCTACACACCAGACCACATGAGACAAAATTTCTGTTTTAGATGATGGTCGTGCCAGAACAACATAAATTGTACCTTAACAAATAAAACCTACATATTCCCTAGTAATGACTCACAACTTTATAAAAACTCGCAATTAAAAATCCTCCGACAGAATGATTTATTCAAATAAAACTGTCAACATAAACTAACTGAACCATCACATTTGTTGATTTCTGGGTTCTCATAAAAAAAAGAATACAGTGAATGATGACTATTTTGGCTATCAAACCAAATTC